GATTTAGTTTAATGCTCTTAGTGCTTGTGTGTGTGCGTGTGTGTGTGTGTGTGTGTGTGTGAGTGTTATGTATCTATATGTCTATATAGAGAGAGAAATTTGGAGAGAAAGAGGGTTAAGAAGGTTGTTGTTTGGCTTTTTTTAATTTGTCATTCTTGTAAAATTTTCTGCACTTGCTAAACTATATGTAGAAGTGAACAAGGATACCTATACAAGAATGCCTATGTTACTTTCTGTAAAAGAAAAAAAAAAGTATTGCAGGTTGAAAAATATTATTTTTTATTTACTATAATTCTTTGGACCCTTAAATGGTGTGGCGATTCTTGTCAGCTCAAAAATAATGAAATGCAAACTTTTCCCATTTGCTTCCTGTGCTCTCAATTTGGTGGCAAATATAGAAAAATGAAAACAACTGGATGGGGGAGAGAACTAGCTGACAGACTTTCCCCCTTTTGACATCACCTTAAAATGCAAGAGAGTCAAATTTATGCAGAAACATTGTGACTTTTATTTTTCAAAATGCACCACTAGCATCTCCCTTCATGTGGATCAAGACCATGGACAGCGAACTAATATTAAATCATTGAGCAAAAAGGACTCCAGCAAAATTTTGTAAGATCAGAATAGAAGTGTACATATAAAATATGTTGAGAATCAACAAAAACTTTATTATTTTTTAAAAGAATTATCCTCTTTAAAAAATGTGACATTTCAAAGTTATTCTTCCAAGTTTCAAAGAAAGAATGATTTATATGTTCAGTTTTTACCCTGTCTTCAAAAGTACATGTTCTTAATCCAGTTAAAATAAGATAAAGTCTATCTTTTGTCACTGGTAAATAACAAATTTAAATCATTCATTTTATATGTGGACTATTTCTTATAAGGCCTTGAAGCAGAGTGGGGATAGAGAAATTTTATTATTTTAGGTTGGCATTAGCTGAATGACACTAGAGCAAATTAAATTGATTTTTATCAGTGACTGAATTTCTAAATGCATAGAATTGGAAAAATTAAATGCCACTTTGATAGACAGGGATAATATGAATGGAGATATAATCCAGCTACCCTTTTTACTCCTGTTTATGCATTGTAGTCTGGCAATGCAATGTTGTGGGAAAACATTTTTTTTTTTCAAGAAAGCCACAGATTTTTTATATATACTGATTCGATTTGGGGTATGGGATTGGTTGAGTGTGGCTCTGTGTAGGACATCAATTTATTTTGTTTTATACATTGTTTATATGGCCTTTATTCCTTTACAAAATTGAAATTTATGTAAAACCATTTCATTTGTGGGTTACATAACATTCAAAATTGCTCATTTAAATTTCCAGTTTCATGTCTCTTTTGCCTTATTTCATAACTTGATTTCAGTGTGACATGTAAAGGCCTGGAAAATCATATAAAGCAAAAATAAAACCCAGGTTAGAGAAATTAAAATAGTTTATAATTAAATTTAAACTAAAACGACATCAATTTAAAGGGACGTTGGAGATTATAAAGAAATTAATTCTTGATCTTCAGTCATCAGATGTGGCTACAGAATGAAACTGCAGTGTTTTGAATACACTAGATACATTTTTGGACATACACACACTTTTTGCTTTTCTTCTCTCTCTCTCTCTCTCTCTCCTCTTTATTTATTTAAATATGTGAAGACGTCTTCAAAGTACTTGGAAAGAATATGCAATGACATTTATCGGTGTCCTGATCAGGACCATGGTGAGGTCCTGATATTTCGCAGAGAGGTGGCCCAGGGCCCTGGATGGGACGCTGAGTTGTGTTGGGAGAGAGTCATTGTTTAGGAAGGCACATTCGTCCGGGATGGCATTTGTGATAAGATTACGCATAAACCTAAACCTTGGCCTGGGGGAAGGATGGCGGCGGGGATGAGAAAAGGAGATGCAGATAAGCTCTGCTTTTGCTGTTTTCGCACATAATTAAGAGGCGGTCCCTCAACTAGAGCGTGGACTCTGTCCGGCCTAAAGTGCTTGTTTTGCTGTTACTTGACCAACCGAGTGTGAGCGAACACGAGCCCTAGAGCTTAGATGCGGAGATCTAGGTGAGGTGTCTAGAGAGTTTTCGGCTCTTGTCTCCCATGTTAGGGAGAGGCAACCCAGAATCATGACTTTGGTTTGCTTTGAGGGAGGCTGGAAATTGACCTGGGGACGGTGAGAGAAGGGCTGGAGTGGCTGAGGAATCTCTTAGGGGGCTATCTTTGGGCCACCATGCTGGCGCCGAGGGGGGCAGTAGGCAAGGGCAGGGCGCTTGCCCTTTGCTGTACCCAGGCGCAGCGTTTGGGGGCTGCGCGCCTTCTGCGGCTCTTTGGTTTCAAGGACACAGCGAGCTGCTCAGGACTTTGGGAGCCAACATCTGTCTGACTGGTGACGTCAGCAGCCCGTGTAATCCTCTTGTGCTGAAGGCAGATGCCTTATTTGTTTGGCTGGAGCGAGCCATTAATCCCTAATTCTGGATCAGCAAGCGAGGGGGAAAGACCGGACCGCTCCGACCCACCCCCTCCCCAC